TATATATATATATATATATATATATATATATATATATATATATATATATTTGTTGTTGTTTGTTTGTTTTGTGGAATTGATTCCTAAGCATTTTGTTCTTTTTGACACTCTTGTAATGGAATTGTTATCTTAATTTCATTTTGGATGGTTTATTACTAGTGTATAAAACATAAATTATTTTTAAAACTTTTATTTTACTTGCATATGTATTTATTTTTGGTACTGGGTGTTGAACCCAGGGACACTTTACCACTAAGCTATATATCCCCAGTCCTTTTATTTATTTATTTATTCATTCATTCATCATTCATTCATTCATTTATTTAGAGACAGGATCTCATTAAGTTGCTGAGGATGGCTTCAGACTTGTAATCCTCTGGCCTCAGCCTCCATAGTCACTGGGATTACAAGCATGTGCCACTACATTGGGCTGACATAATTTTTATATGATGATCTTTTATCCTGAAACCTTGCTGAACTTGCTTATTTGCTTTAAGTCTTTTATAGGGCTCCTTAAAGTTTCTATACACAAGATCATGTCATCTGAGAATAGAGATAGTTTGATTTCATCCTTTCTGAACTGTATGCCTTTTATTTTCTTTGTTGTCTAATTGCTCTGGCTAGGTCCAATGTTGGATAGAAGTGATTGCTTTTCTTCTTTTTTTACTTGCATATTTTGAAATTATTTCTGTTTCACTTGACTAATTTTTATCCTGGTTGCGGGTATATTTCCCTGTTTCTTTGCATGTGTGGTGATTTTTCTTACATGCTATCAGTATGATTGTTATATAGTTCAGAATTTGGATTCAGTTGTCTTTCTTGAAAAGAGTATTGGATTCTGGCAGGCAGTTAAGGTACTTGTGAATCAGCCTGATCCTCTCAAGACTGATTTTTAGGCTTTGTTAGGACAGGTCTAGGGAACCCTTTGTTCTAGGGTTACTATAACCGATTCCTAAGGTGTGACCCTTCTGGATTTCCATTGACTGGTTTCCTGAATTTTCATCCTATGCATATGCAACTTAGTATTCAGCCTGAAATCCAAGGGGGCACCTATGCAGAGGTTTATATCAAATGTGCAGGAGTTATTCTGAGGTAATTACACAGGAGTAGAATTGCTTGGTAATGAACCCTGTGATCACTCAGCATTCTCATGTAACTATCACAAGGGCAAAATACTACCACCCACCCTGTCACATCCTGTTTCTCAGTCTTGTCTTTTACATCTCATCCATTTGCTCAAGAAGCCTAACTGTTACCTTTTGATCGCTTGGTGATCTCATTCTGTTCCAGAGCCTCAAATAAGGTCAATCTTGACAACTCTTAAATTTCTTTCTCCAGCTTCTGAAGTTCTCCTGGTTCATAGATATGAGTTTTTGCCTGGCAACCCCACTGGGCTAGCTAATAGGAATGTCAACATAATATGTCCACCAGTAGTTAATTGTTCATTCTAAACTTGCTTCTTGTTACAGGGGCCCCATCTTAGTAGATTCCTCCTCTTGCTCAGGCCAAAACCTTGGAATTTTCCTTCACTCCTCTTTTCTCTCAACACCATATTCTATCTGTCAGCAAATCTTCTGGGTTTCCCCCAAAATCTACCCAGAATGTGACCTTTTCTCCAGCCTGTCTAAGCCACCAGCTTCTCACATCATTATTTCTTTTGCAACATTGAACTGCAGAAGACTTTCCTAATTATGACCTAAAACCCAGAAGCAAGTGACAGAAATAGACAATTGGTAGATGAAGTCTATA